CCTCTCTCTCTTTGCGCGGCACTGCCGACGGGAAAACCCGACTTCCCTCTCCTCGCGCCAAGAGGGGAGAGAAGAAGGGTTTTTCCATTCTTCGGCGCGCGCAGCTACGACAGCCCATCGAGGCCGAAATCTCTGAAAAGTGTCTCCCGCAATGTTATCGCTTTAAAAGTAAACATTATTCAGAACAAAAAAGTAGGTACCTGTCAGAAGTTACCAATAAATGTACATTCTGGGTAATAATACTGACCTTTGACTATGTGTTGGTTTCAAAGAACGTAGAATCCTCAAATGAACCAGTACATATGGTGCAAGATAGCTCACTTTACGTGTTCGCGTCGAACACGTAAAGAGCCAATCACCGCAACTTACGGAGGCAACTCAGCGAATGACAATGCCGAAACATATGTTTAGACCGAAAAACGCAGTCTGAGTTGTGACATTAAGCAATGCAAAACGTCACGCTTGCATTGCTTAATATCACAACTCAGACTGCGTTTTTTGGTCTAAACATATGTTTCGGCATTGTCATTTGCTGAGCTGCCTCCGTAAGTTGCGGTGATTGACTGTTCGAGTAGTTGTGCGGGAAAGCAAACTCACGGGCTTTTTTTAGAGTGTGGGACGAAAAGATATCACGGCTGTTACCCTAAGTCCCAAAACTAAAAATATGAAACGCTGTTTTGTGTACTACCTGCCATTAACTAAAGCTTACCCAAAAGGAAGCCGCCAAGGCTTCCTTTTGGGTTAGCTTTAGTTAATGACCTTGCGAGGCAAGGCTCTTTTAGGTTGAAGTTTTGTCTTAGCATCGAGGAACACACACACACAAAGCTGACCTCGTCACGCGTAAAAGTAATACCGATTTAGAATAGTAAAACCTTCATGGCCCTGAAGTTCGATGAAATACGCGTGGAACGCAGACCTGCACGGTAATTTCGTGCGAAAAAGCTGAGCAACAAACACCGGTCTACATCGAAGGGGCAGTGCAACGATATTCAGTTGGAATGTTCTTTACTTTAAACGAGCTTACTGGCATTAGGGGGAGGCAAGAGCCACTAAATGCGCTACGCTTAGAGTATAATAATAATAATAATAATAGCTTTATTTACCATGTATAAGCATGGTGGGGGCTGAGGAAAAAAGCCTGTCCAAGCAGCGTGACTGGTCCTCAGCCCCCCTCAGGTACATACAGTGGCGAAACAGACATTTAAACGAACACAAGAAATTATATAATAATACAAGGTACTTCCATTATAACAATGAACAACAGACAACTATCAGCAATACATAAAAAAAGAATAGCACTGGTCTATAAAAGAAATCGGGAAGTTGTACACAAGAAAGGGAAAACTATCCAAAATATTCTAAGATGCTTCAACACAATATACATACATATATATATATATATATATATATATATACATACATACACATATATAAACACACACACATATATATATATATATGCACATACATACAAACACACACACATATACACAGGTACATACACATAGCCATAGACGCACATATATATATACAGGGATACACACAGACATACATATGTGTGTTTTTATGCTTCGCACATTGCGCGAAGTTCATTTTATCTGCAAGTGTACAGATCAAAATGAACGTGGTGATAGGTGTTTAAAAGGGATGTTAAAAGATAACGGAGACATTCTTTTCCGGAGTTTAGTCGAGTTGTAGGGACTACCCAGCTCTCTTTGTGTCTTGTACAGTAACTAGAGGTTTTTATTTGCAGTTAGGAAAGATTGCGTATATTACTTATATTTCTCTGTGTTTCTAATTTATAGCGAGCACTCAAACGATATCTGTATAGGTTGTGTGCCCTGATAACGCGAGAACGACGAAAGAAAATTTAACTTGGTGTTTCATAAGGGGCGTTAGAGATCTGGCGAACATATTTCTTTTGTAATAAATGAATGCACTGTAGGTTTGAAGACGTACTTGTCCCTCACACTAGTTGACAATAGTTTAAGTGTGAGTACAACAGCGAATTATAAAGAAGCAATTTAACTTGTGCGGGATGGAGGTATCGAATGCGTCCAATTATGCCAGTAATTTGCGCTTTTTTTGTTAGCAAGTAGTTTACATGAGCGTCCCATAGCATGTCGGTAAAAAATATGATACCGAGACACCTGAAATTATCTAACTCTTCTATACGACGTGAATTAAGGAAGATTTCTGGATGTGTAGGAACGGGCTTGTTTTGGGGTCTGAATATAACCGCCGTTGTTTTTCTTTCATTTACTTGCATAGCATTAGCTGCCGACCAGTTCTCGAGTGTTTTCATTGTATTATTACATCGATCTATAAGTTCATGAATGTCATTGCCAGAAAAAATATACTAGTGTCATCCGCATATACTATAAATATGGCTGTGGGGCTAATATTTACAATATCGTTAAGATAAACGTTGAAGAGTAGTGGCCCTAATATGCTGCCCTGTGGCACACCACACAGTACTGGTTGTGCCTTTGAGCGCATACTGTTAATCTGGACAACCTGTTTTCGATTAGATAAATAAGATTTTAGAAGCAATAAAACCCGCCCTCGGATACCGTAGCAGTTCAGCTTTTCAAGCACAATGTCATGATTTACTAAGTCAAAAGCATTTGAAAAATCTACAAATACACCAAGAACGATGGCTTTGTCTTCAAATTGTGTGAGTATATACTCTTTTTGTTCAAGTAATGCTAGTTCACTTGATTTGTTTTTACAAAAGCCAAATTGGTGTGGCGTCAACCAGTTATACTTATCAATGAATCCCGAAAGTCTCGAGTGCAAAAGTTTTTCAAATACCTTTGAAAAAACTGGCAGGATGGAAATTGGCCTATAATTTCCCAGATCATTTCTATCTCCCTTTTTGTAAAGTACTGTAATATTTGCTTTTTGCATATTTGATAGGAAGACAGGTGTGTCTAAACAGGTGTTAAATATATCAGTGAGGATAGGCGCGATTATATCAGCTACATGCTTTACAGGCCGTGTCTGGAGACCATCAATATCACAGCTATTGCTATTATTTAGACTTTTGATTACTAATATCACCTCCGTTCCGTTCCCCGATCTGCTAGTGGGCGCCGCCATCTTGGTGTGTAGTGCAGAGCGGACGTAACCGTCGATTGTCGCATTTAAAAATGCGACTTCCTCAGCCTTAGATTGGGTGTTAGGAAGCTCAGGTGATACTTTTTGCTTGGTCGCGAACTGTTTTAACATTTCTGGAGGACGGGAAAGAGTTTTCCACGATTTCAGGCAGAGTTTCAGATAACTGGCAACTATGATCCTAAGAACAAAGATTGCTGCAGTGTCCTTACTCTGATGCCTAGCTAATTTAGTGGCTGTAAAGGGGTAGGGGGGGGGAGGGGGGGGGGGGGGCAAAGCACACTCGCACTTAACGTCACAAAAAAAAACTATGTTGCGGCGGAGTTTTAAGGGTAAAAGCGAGTGTTTTCTTAGGATCTCTCCTTAGCAAACAAATTCAGCAGAGACACTTAAAACTGCTTGCGTGTTGGAATTCGAAAGCATGATGCACGCACTAGGCATATCAGTAGTCAGCCGGCACTGTGGAGTTGCCGTGGCGTTGGGGAAGCGTGCTCGTCTCGCACCCCGGTGGCCCGGGTTTGATTCTTACCCAGACCGAACTGTACGAAATTTTCTTTTCAAAGCCATTTATTTTTGTTTACAAAAACCTCCCCTACAAATTTTTGTCGTGTTGTGATGACGCAGCAACAAGGTTGCAGTGTTGGTATAATGCCCCTCTAGTGGTGACATTTGAGTGCAGCTTCTGAACTGAGCCCGAGTATCACGTGAATACTCGATTTGGGCGCGGGATAATCAATAGCTGGACAAGTATTCGGGTGGTGGCTCTTGTCCAATCGCTGCAATGACGAGAATAGCCGAACCCTAAAGCCGCAGACACACTGCTTATGCTGGCAGAAAATGAGGGAGAGAAGGAGAGGAGAACGCGTGGTGACGTCAGAACGCCGACCTCTGCTTGAAATGATTTGTGGGTAGACCTAAAGTTAACTGCCTTTGTCTCCACTGCACTCTTCGAAAGCGTTCGAATGCGAGAGCCAAACGCCGGACGCCGGCGTCCCAGAGCCTTCGACGAGAGCTCGGCGTTCTGATGTCTCTTTATATATATGATGACAGAACCATCTCGGGAAGGACCTCGATCATGCTGCAAGCATGTTTTCGTCCTACATGAGTGAAGACAGTTTTTGACTGGCCGATGTGACAGGACGGTCATACAAGGAATGCCTCTGACGGTGTCTGCAGACTGTCTTTTGTTCGAGGTTTTTAGGAACAGTGTGGCCGCGGATTAATGATGTCCGGAACTCGCTGCGTGTCCTGTGCTTTGACAATCCCAGTGCGGGGCTACGATTAACATTGGCAGCGTATAATCGTATCCAGATCACGTAACCGCTCGTTCTGGCTGCGGGTTGAGGAGGACGAACGCGGCTCGTTTTTCGTTAATTTTCTTGGTGACTACCATTGCGCAGAGAGCGAAACTAACGCGTGTTTTGTGGATTATGGACGCCAGGAATTTGTTTTGAGCAGTCTTTGCACAAAGTACAAGAACCGTCGCACCGGCGTTTTAGGAAACGACAAAAAAAATGTGCGCGGCCCGTGCAACGATGCTCTCCCACATCCTCCACATTCAACTGCTTGGGTAGATAGTGGATCCACAATCCTTTTCTCGCTCTTTTTCTATTCCTTCCATCTGATCTCTCTGCTACCACCCTCTTAGTAACTCTTTTTCTAGTAACTACCCTTTTCCCTAAGGAGTAAAGGGCTTCATTTGACAGCCCTTCCACGGCGCATCGTTGGCTGTCACGTGACCCGGCAGACATGTGGTGCTAACGTCATTTTAGTCAGCCTTCTTGGTAAACAGGACCGCGATAGCTCTCCGTCAGATGGGTAAACGCGGCGGCCTCCGATAAGCGCCTGGGAGAATCGTCCTTTCAAATCTGACAAGCTACGCAGAGATCGTCGTATCTACAAGGGTTGTTTGTGTCGAGAGTTCGGCTCCGCGTGCTGCTCCGAGAGCGTACTACCACCGTCGGCCCCTTCCATGGATATCCGAGACTTGAATTCGGCGTGACAACGGTAAGTTCCGGAGCAGCTAAGGACCGAGTCGCTGTTGCCCACAAGAGTCCACCAAACTCTGCTCGCTGACACAGACGTAAACGAGTTGTGTGTTGTCCCGGCTAAGCTTTGGATACATATAGCAGAGCGCGTTGGATAGAGTACAGATCACACATTGGAGCGGTAGCAGCGCGTGGTGGCGCTTGAGCTCGTCGGTTGCCGGTTGGCCATGCCGCGGTTTGCGAGCGCGTTTCTTCACTAGACCCGTTTCAAAAGTGTGCGCCATCTAGTATCCGCTGCTCTAATCGATTCCGCCAATGTTAGGGCTCTTCCTATAAGCATGTACCGGAACGAGGCTTGCGTCATCCTTCGGCAAGGATTCGTATTCAATCGCAGGCTTCGTGTCCTAAAAATGGCGACCGCCAGTGTTATTTGATTGGCATCTTGAATTACTTCGTAATTTTGCGATAGTTTCATTTATAAAATTTTACATTAATGCATTCCGGACAAAACGAGGTGTCAGGCGAGATAAGAAGACTGCTTCTTGTTTTTTTGCCACTAAAGCAACGAAAAGCGCGTTTCCGAAAGTTCGGACTTGTCAGAGTGGAGCGCGAATGGGCGAAAGTAAATATAAAAAGTTTCAAACCTTAGGGGCTACCGGATTGAGACGTTGGAAGCGATAAACTGGAGACGCGGTGGAAAGGAGTACACAAAGATATGCGTCCGTGTTCGTTGCATTTTTTAGATGGCGATACTGTCGATGATACGCGTAGAGAATAACTTACATTCGGCAAGAAGCAGAATTAAACGAGGAAGCGGGCGTCTGTTTTTATTTTCCCGACGTGACGGAAACGCTTACGACGTACGTTTCTGCTTTGTATCGGCAGCCACTCGAGAGATGCAGCAGAAAACGGACGGAGTATATATCTGATTCTGTTCTTCCACACGACGTCAAAACAATCAGTTTTTGACTTCTGTCACCATTTTTACTCCCAAGAAATGGCGCCACAAGTTACATGTATCGCTAATCCGATCGTTTACAAACACGTCCCCCGTTGACTTTAGCAAATTTTTCGGTATATTTTTTTTTAATGAAGAGAATTACGTTTTGAAATTTCGCAAGATTATACACACTTCTCGATGCACAATCGGTGCCATTTAGAGTTTTTTTTTTTTTTATGTGGAGGCGCCGATTTTTACAGCTCGCTTTACAACGTAAGATCCACTATGCGCAACTTATACTTTCCACTTGAAGTACAAGCCCAGCATAGACTACAAGAATGAGCTACGGGCTTTCAGCGTCAATCGCGGTGCGTGCCCTTGTGCAGAACTGGCGACTTCAATTCACTATAGGTGGCGCCACCCGTTTTTCAAAATGGCGGTTATAGTGAAGATCGGAAATGCGTGCCGGTATGCCAGTTGCTGAGCCTGTCTTGTGTGCTGGCTTCACTGACCGGCACAAATTATTCCTGCGCATATCCGGAAGCCGGAGTGTTATGAGCGTATTCCACCACATTATCCATAAAACAAAAACGGGGTTTAGCATAAAATTTACGCCAGGATGCACGTTTTAATTCTGCAACAAAACCGATGCTAACCTCTATTTTGGATTTAATTTCTCAGAAAAGGTGCTAATTTAGGATTCCGTCATAACTCAAGATGTGTCTCATAGCGTAATTATTGAGTTAAAGCAGTTGTTCCTGGAAATTGTATTTTTTTTTACATACGTGTCCAATCCGGGCACTTCAAAATATTTTGGAGAGTTCAGTGTCCCTGTAAAAAACCGGGTCTTTCATACTCCTTAGAGGTAACATAGAATATTGTACTCGTTGAAAAACCCAGTGCTGATATTTGTGTTCTTGCTGCCTTTTCTCGCTCAGCCTTGTGAAATAATGAACTGCAGGCCTTTTAATGCGTTCTGGGTTATTTAGATGATTAATTGCTTTAACATTATTCCCAGGAAAAGAATAATAGAATCAATCCATATTTGACAAAATATCGCCACGAGAAAAAAAGTATAAATTAAGAAACGCTGTTCTCAGTACAAAAACACAGACGGAATCCGAGTCAGGCAGCAGTAGTGTGTATGTTTTTTAAAGCCACGCGTGGCGCATAATACTTTATAATACATACACTGTTTGTATATTTGTCCATCTTGATAACCATGTCAGAGTTTTTCATATGCTAAAAAGAAAACACAATTAGACCTTTCCGGAAGGACTAGTATGGTTAAATCCGTATTTTTTTACTCATGGCGTTTATTGGGTGCATGCGTACATTGCCATAATTCGTATCAATAATAATAATACGACTAGGATATTTGAATACGCAGTTTTTCCAGCTCTAATGCAAATGTTTGCAAATATGTGCAACTTATCATCACTGGTGGCAATTGTGCCATTTTTAATTAACATGTTATAAAATAAAAGTAGTCGAAAATTAATTTGAAGCCTACTAGATGGCTAATCTGAGAAATCCATCTAAAATCATATTAATTGTGGGTAAAGCATATAGTGCTTTACCCACAAAGTCGACACTTTTCGAAATCGGCCAAACTTCCAAGGTTGCCGCCAATCTTACCGGACCAAATGCCAAATAAAATTTAAAAAAAGGAAGAAAAAAAATGTCTGCTCACTGCAACACTTTTCTTTGACGTTGGAAACCGGTGAAAGAGCAGTGAGTTTTAGTATTGCGTATACGAGCGAACGCAGGCGCTGTGTGTTTTCGTTAGCTTTGAGTGTTCCACACTGTGTGCGCGGAGCCCAACATTGCGGTCTTGGATTGGAGCGTGCCGGCGACGCACGTGTGCAGCGTGGACCACGCAACTCTAACACAAACACACGGCGTTTTCTTCTATCCGCAATAATAAGCTTTTTTCTAATAAGGTACAATCTCATACCGGCTACAGCGCACTACATTGGGAGAGTGAGGAGTGTTGTTTGCATTCGGAATTGACATTTCGCGAGTCATGATCGTGAGCCGTTCCGCCGTGCCTGCTGAGCCGGAGAACCGAGAAACTCTCACTAGAGAGCTTCCCGTTTCCGCCGTGGGAGGGCAAGCAACGAGCTGGAGACGGAAATCTTTGTCCTACCATAGCCTCCTCTATATTCACAAAGCCTGGCCTTTCGACGACGGAGCCATAGAGTGCCCGGTCGCAGATTTGGAGCGAGAGGATTTGGTGGCACAGAGAATCAAAGAGACATTTCTCGAGGAACTTGGACGTGAGCACAGAGCTTTTGCAGCGGCGAGGATCCGAAATACACTTGTTCGCTCGGGAGAAGAGTGTTTCGGCGTCTCGCCGCAGCGGGGCGCCAGTCACGTGGTTCTGCTCTCATCCGTTTTCTGCCGCCCCACCTTTTCCATTTCGGTGGCCACTTCTCGAGGCGATCGGCCAGGCTTTGTTAGTATTAAGAGGCTATGGCCGTACACAGCAACGGGGTCGTGCTTGTAGCTGGGTATTCGCTCACACCTAGAGGAAACCAAACTATAAATGAACCTGACTTTTGAAATATATCTATTGGTGAATTTGGTGATGCTTCTTTGTACCTTAACCTTTACAGGATGCACCGAAAATGGGTAATACCAGGACCTTGACAACGCGACCGCTCTTCCTGCTGTTTCTCTGCAGCATCGAGGGCATCGGGAGCTCCTCCATCAACTTCTCCAAGCCAAATCCCCCTCTGGCCTTCTGCTCCCGCTACAAATGCTGCCCGCAAGGCTCGTCTCAGGCGCGGATGGACTGTTCGGACAAGAACGTGACCGCTTTTGTGGACGCCGTCTTCCCCAGCGGGGTCCAGATGCTCTCTCTGAAGCACAACGGCATCAAAAAAGTTGAAGCGCAGGCGTTTGTGACAAGTACCAAAGTCGTTCATCTGGACCTGTCGTACAACAAGATTGACTCTCTCGAAACCGGCTCTCTGTCTAACCTCAGCGGTCTCAGCTCAGTCGATCTGTCTCACAATCACCTCTGGAAGATCAACAGCAGAGCGTTCCAGGGTCTTAGAACTTTGGTACGATTAGACATTGGCTACAACCAATTGCAGACGCTTTACGACGACGACTTCAGCGAACTCGAACATCTCGAGGAACTGGACCTGGACCATAACCCTTTGGGACACATTAGCGGGCGCTGTTTTCAGTTTTTGCGTAACCTCAAGGTCCTCAGCTTGAACAGCGTCGGGCACACGCACCTATCCCCGGACGTGTTCGCTCATGTCAGGTCTCTGACGAGGCTGAGTCTCGTCGGAAACGGATTTCGCAGCCTGCCTGCGGCGGCCTTGCAGGGGCTCTACGACCTCCGCTCCTTAGACGTGAGTCAAAACCCGTTGACACACGTCGGCTCGTCCTGTCTTCGAGAGCTGCCGTCCTTGCGGACTCTTCGACTCAATGACATGTATCAGCTGACCAGCGTCGACGTATTCGCCTTCGGAAATCTGCCAGGTCTCAAGGAGCTGTACCTCAACTACAACCCAAAGCTAATATCCATTCACAAGGATGCGTTTCGGTCGTTCTCGCACAGCCAGTTCGTTCAGCTAGATGAGTTGTATCTTCGACAGACGGCACTACAGACGCTATCCTCCAGGATGCAAGACTGGGGTAAGCTGGCCGTCGTGGACCTTGCGGAGAATCCGTGGAACTGCGACTGTCGGCTGAGATGGATGGCTCACCTGACAGTCAAGACGGTGGCTGAACATCACTTCAGGTGGGTTCTCGTTGGATCGTTGTGGGGGAAAAGTTGACGATTCTGAATTTTGAAACGTGCGACCTGCAGCTTTAACTCTAACCTGCACCAAAAGCAATTCATATTTTAGTGTAACAAGTTATTTAATTATAATAAACCGTAAAATTTGCTGATTCGATGTAGCCAATCAAAGAATGTCTGAAGTGCATTGTTACGGCACTAGTTCTTGTGGGATTGCTATCGCTGGCTCAACCAATGTCGCAGAAAAAAAGCTCAGGATCGCGGCGAATTCACTGTGCATGATCGGTTTTCTCGGCGATAGCAAATGAATAAGTGCGATGAGCGTCGTGACGTTGCACTTTTGGCGCTGGTTGATTAGCTTCGTCTGATCGAAGCGTTGGCGGCGGTCGGTCTCATGGCGCGTTTACATTTGCGGATTCGCGGGCGGATCCACGCGGGCGGAAGGTAAATTTTGGAGCCGGGTGGCGAAATCGACTCGTCGCTGGCGGAAAATCTTGATCCAGATTTTTACTAAGGGACAAGTCGATTTCGTCACCCGGCTCCGAAAATCCGCCCTCCTCTTGCGCGGATCCGCCCGCGAATCCGCTAGTATAAACACGCCATGACATGAAACGGAGTATAGATAATTTGGCTAGTTGGCATGACATAACTGAAAACAATGAAAGCGCCCGAGAACAACAGAAAAGTGAAAGAAACGAACAGACTGAGCGCTGGCTCACAACTGAAAGATTAAGGAAAACAGCGAGGAAACCTTGAACTGCGAGAAACGATATATGCTACTCTTTCTTTCATTTGCTTAGAACTACTTTAAGAGAGGCCGACTTCAACCCATATTAGGCAAACGACGGACTGCTGATATACGCGTGCACTCTATGCAAACTGGTACGTAACATATATTTAAAATTGCTCTTCACCCTTGATTTTTGTGACGTGACAAGGTTTTGAGATATTCGTACCTTGGCACGCTTCTATATCTATCAGAACTTACTTCCGAATTGCCCAAAAGTGACCAGCTTATTGCCAGATTCTTTAGCTTCTATCAGTAGTGCATAGGCGTGAATTTACAATACTGGTGGGGATGCGGTTTTTCTTGTAGTTCGCGGTTCTCTTGCGGCTTTCATGAAGCTTTCTGCTCTACGACACAGATTGTTCTGAAGCCAAAACGAGAAGCTGGCGACCTGGTTATGTATTGACATCTTTATCCTAAAGCATGGGAAGAGACTCAGCAAACAGGAACACGAAGCTCGTGTACCAGTGTGCTTGTCTGTCCCTCCCCTCTCTAAATTGTTTTTTTTTCTTTGCTTGATTGTTTTTTTAGCATTCTGATTATTTCCAGTAACGACAAGCAAGTCGCATCATGCCAATGCATATTTTTCGGAAAGAATACGGCGTCTACAAGTTTATTGGGCTGCCGTAGCTCTGTCCTAAGGAGCCTCCAAATCAGTCGTTCATGAGCTCTGTACGAGTGCTCGGCACCAAAAAACCTGCGAAATAAAAAAAAAAAAAAAAAACACTGCGCATGCTGAAACAAACGAAAAAAAAAATAAAAATATATACATATATTCGTAGTTTAGTAAACAAAGAGGGAGGCAAAGAGAAGGCTATAATTCACTTTAGTCTCTAGAAACTCTAATAATGTAAGTACAGTGAGTTTCCGCGAAAAGAGAACCGTGTTTTTCGGCATGGCTCAATAAACTATGCTTCGCATAATGCTGAAACTCCGTGGGAATGTAACGCTAGCGATTAGAAGAGAATGCGAAAGTTTTAAAACATGACGCTTCCTGGATCAAAAGATCATTGGTAAAAACGAACTTTCTTAAGGGAGCCGAAGTTTCCTTGAGCCTGATTTTGTCAAATCAAAAAATGACACTCTGGATGACTGTAGAACCTATTTCAGCGAAACAAATTTGTCAGCAATATATATTTCTCACGAGCGTTAACAATATCATTTCTTGTTTTGACGATATTAGGCATGGGTGCGATGAATAGTATATTTATCCGGGCCAAGAAGCACGCTTTTTTCTTTTCTTTCTCGGGAGTCTGTGCCTCAAAATGCGAAAATGGAGACATGTTAGCAAGAACAGTTTCCGACCCACAGCTGCGCCCATCCGCCGAGTCTGCTGGGAAGACGGGTACAAGACCTGGCGGCTGAACACCTCTCGTGCGACAAACCCAGCCTGGCTGAACTGAGCACTTCAATCGCCATGCTCTGCGTCATGCTGTTCGCCTCGTGCGCCACTGTGCTCGGAGTTCTGGTCTACCACCAATGCACGCCGACGGAAAAGCCGGACTACAGTCGAGTATGGCCGAGCGACAGCAGTGTGTGACAGGCTGTGACGGTTGTGAATGTGCTTCGGCTGTTGACCCTTGAAGGGAACCCCGAAGTGACAATGCAGAGACCTATGGTCAGGGGCAGGCTAAAAATGCAACCTCCAAGAAAAGGTCGTTGCTTTGTGCCAGGCTAGGCTGTACTAGAATGGAGAAGTGTGGCCGTTCGGCGGCCGTAAGAGTGTCGCCATGTACAAGCGCGTCAGTGAGGACGCTGTAGGGCAGAGCGCGGAACGCGGCCGTCTGACGGCTGACAAAGGCCTGACGGTCACAGCAGGGATGCTTTATTAGGCGTGAAAATGGTCGTATTCTTTGTTTGTTTTGTATGCTCGGTTGTGAGAAAAAAAAAAAAAAAAACAAGTTGCATCCAATCTTACACTCATATAAAAAAGTGAAAGCCAATGCCGTTTTGGAGCGGTCAGTTGCTTACATAGGCTCAGTTCTTTCACATATTTTTTCGTGTCGTTTTGCTTTTACGGGAAGATAATTGTCTATCTCACCTTACATATCACCATTAGGAAAGCGATGTTTTGGGTATATGATATGATATGCGATGTTTCCTCTTCACTTTATACTGTAGAACTTATTTTAATTATTTTTTCGGCAGCTGTACATTTTGCAGACCTTTAAATACTTAATTTTTGTTTTGGTGTCAATGTATCTTCTTTTGTGTGTGTGTGTCTAGCGTGGTTTAATCAAAGCGAGATTGTCTTGGCTACTACATTCTCAGCCAAACCTTAGAAACCAAGAAATGTCTGAATCGCTTTTTTATCTAGTGAGCACGCATCTTATGAAAATAAACAACAAGTCTGGCAAGTTAAGCAGAGCCACTTTAACTGCTGTATTTCTACATACATTGCACGTGACGTCATATGACACCGTACTAGCCGCCATTGCTGCGTGCCATGCTCTTATGGCCGCACCTTCCGCAGCATACAGCCGGAGCTTGTCGGGTGCGTTGTTCGTTGTCGTTGGTCTGAGCGAGTTGATTTCAGATGCGGGAGCCGTCACATGAAGCCGGTCGAAAGCGACTTCAGAGTTCAGCGTGGTCTCTCACGTAGGTATAGCTTGGAAATGCGGAGGAACGGTATGCATTTCGCTGGTGATCGGCGGGGATATTATTCATATTGCCACGAAAGGAAACAATCGGCCCTGCGTTGCTCGAACCTCCAATTGATTCAGACATCGCAAGGATAAATTTTAACGCGACGTTTTTGTGCTCTCGTTGACCGTCGGAACCTTTTAGCTACGAAGATTGCGTGAGTCGTGTTTGGCAGTGTGTAATCGTAATGCCGCTTCGTTCAAATGACCGAAGGTTCACTTTGGTTGTGCGGCGCACCGGAAATCTGGTAGTTCCCGTGCCGTGCTAGATGATGCTGTGCTGTTTCCTAAATTGTTTCGGCGGAGGCGTGCACTTTCACGGAGTACAGGTGTGCGGCGCACCGAAGAGCTGTTTTCAAGCTGGTAGTTCTAATGCCGTGCTAGGTGATGCTGTACTGCTTCCTAAATTGTCCTGGCGTAGACGTGCACTTTCACAGAGCACAGGTGTTGCAGTTGGTATTGGATCCGCTGCTCTGCCGCACGTTTCGTTGACACATACGTTTCATCCACACTCGTTACGCGAATTGTTAGCTGTATGGACATTTCATCGCGCGTGTATCAGTGGGGCGCATGTTACCTACCCAGCCCACCCATTTACGCCACTTCGCGGCGACAGCCTGCTGCGGCTCATTAGCAGAAAAGTGGCCCGACATCCGTTTTAGTTAAGTTCGTCCAAGGCAGTCGTCAAAACCCTGAAAAAGCTGACTTATTCGGACAAAATTCTACTGAAGCAGTGCAGCTTCCTAACTGGTCAGGATAGACTCTCTTGTGTCAGTTTTGTTATACTGTCACGGATGCTTGGTTCAGTCCTTTCTTGTATCAACCTTTAGTATTTTGGATATTTCCAGGCAACGTTATTAGATTAGCTCAGTTGCGGAACTGATCATAGACGCTGCATGCACGAGCAGTACCCCCCCCCCCCCCCCCCCTCTCACTCACCACAACCCGCCTCCCGTACTTCGACGCACCGGACGGCTGCTTTGGTAACTGCACTGCAGTGTCCTTTTTGCTTGAATTGATAGCTTGTATTGACATATGCTGTACAACATAGACCTGGGCCTCCATTCTCGCTAACTTAAATATCACTCAGAAATAAAAAGAAAACCCATTAACTAAATAAACTACACGTTTATAATGTGAATAAAGCTACACAGCACCCGTTACAAGAAAGAAACTACGCTGGTTTCTATTATTCCCTGGCGGAAAGAAAAATATCACGTACGTTTCCTTATGGGAATACACAGGAAGACTGCAAAAGTAGACTGGTTGCTGTCTGCTTTAATTTGCAACCGGAAGTCCCGTAGACACTATAGCGCCAGCTGAGTCTCTAGCGTTTATTATAATTACTCTATGGCTGGAACCACTGATCTCTATTGTAGTAGGCTGGATCGCGGACCGCGGCCTCGGCAGTTGGGGCCGAGTGTCGCCACCGGCGGTCATTGATCGACACCAACCAATGCATGAGACTCTATGGGAAGAACGAGAAACAGTTCCGCTTCCCAGTTTCTAACCTTGTAAGGGTGGCGGTGTGGGTTAGTTGGTGCATACTGACGAAAAGGCAAACAGCGCACAGTAAACGGGGACTAAAAGAACTGCAAACAGGACAAGCGCTTGTCCTGTTTGCACTTCCTTTAGTTGCCGTTGTGGGATTTTCCTTTTGGGGGGGGGTTACCACTTAGAAACACAGAAGGTTCTTTGGGTGCGGATAAAGACATGTTTATTGGCTGCAATGCCAACACGCTTCGCTCTTAGACAATCAAAAGTCTGGGCGCTGGCTCAATTGCCAGTATCACCCGGTCGGTTTCCCGCGCTGCCGCATTAGACAGATTCACGGGAAGTCGGAGGCCCATAAAGAAAAACCAAGCTCCGTAGAGCCAGGGCCTCCGCCGACGAGAGCCTCTGGTCCACCTTCGGGGCCAGCTTATGTAGCCTCGGAGAATGGACGCGCCCGGGGAGGCCACTAGCAGTCGCGTCCATTATAACTCTCAAGGGTGTGCCGAAGGCGCGTTCACCCAAATAAGCAAGGGAGAGCCGGCCCCTTCGGGGAATTCGGCCTCGTGGTTCCTTGTATCCGGGAGGCCGACGCCATTGGTGACGACGGCTTCCACGGCCTGCTCGAAGCTAGGCCTGGATAGGGATAGAGGGAACCCCATGTTTCCCACACCGTCTACTTTGCGCTGTTTGCTTTTTCGTCTCTAACCTTGTGTCGGCACTGAAACTTTTTGGCTGCTTTTCGATAAGTCCGTCAAATAGCTTGCGTACCAATATTAAGACCGACAGCCCTCGCAGCTCTTGTAAATAAATATTTTGTGATCGAGACTGACTCCGTTGGGCGAAAAATGCAGTGCAGCACAATTAGGCGAGAGTTACGTAGAGTTACAGTGGAGTCGGTGGCGGTTTCGTTGAGTTGGGTTTAGCAGACGACAAACTCGAAGGCTTTGCTGCGCGGAATTTGCTCACTCCCGGAAAGCCGCTGTCGAGATGGAACTTCTTTGTCATTCATCAACTTCCGGGCTTCCCCGACGACGGTCTCATAGACGGCAAGTTCCTTTGTTTACTCCACTACGAAAGCAAGTCTGCCTACTCAGCCGGAGGTGCTCCGGTACGTTCGACTTTTTTTAATCGGCGTTCGAACATTTGACAAATGATCTCCAAACACCCGACGTAAGGACCGCAACACACCCTAAAATACTCGCGCCCAAGCACAGCGTGCATGCTTCAATATTCTTACTTTTGTGCGTTTCTCCCAAACGCTTGCGTGTATTGCCTGGTGTCAAGCAGTGGCCGCCGGTAACGACACCGACGGGCTCCCGATCCACGATCCAGCCTACTACAATAGAGATCAGTGGCTGGAACAGAAGCTACAATAGTTAACAAGTCAGCTCCAACCATTCTGGAATAATTGATGCTACGATTGCGTGTCGATACCGCCCCCCGTGTTCCGAAGCAGCAAGTACGTCGCTAACGCTGGCCATCGGCGATGCAGCAGAGCAGACGCCGCCATCTTGTCCGCGCGTTTGGGGTACTAAAACATAGATTCACTCTGCCTTAGCAGGACTAGAGCTACTCTATATGGCAGCGTAGCTGCCAGAGTAGCGACACGACGGAAAATTATCTAGATGCACGACGTCAGAAGCGCCTACAGTGATCTCCATTTTGGGCCTGGGAGGTTGCCATGGTAACCATACTGCTAGCGACGCCGGGCGGCAACCTTTATCTAGTTGATGTCTCCACTCGTTAATTGAAGGTGGTAAAAGACCTAAAAGACGCTTTGCATGGCGGTATGGCACGGACCTCTGGAGGAGCGGTGCCTGTTTCTTCTGTGCAGTGATACGATTTGCAGCCCGGGGACTGTCGGGCGACGAGAGCAGCTAAGTTTCGTAGGTGCACGGACAAGGCGAGTGGTTTTTCGCGCCGCCGGGATGGCGGCCGCTTCGTGGGACGTACGTACCGTCCTTGTACTTTCGGACTTCGCTCCTATGGAACAAAATCCGATCACGTCGGCCACGACAGGACGATTGCCTCGGGACATGACTGCTGCTCGACTCCCCCATAGTAAGAGAATGTATGCTTAGCACCATAGTTCTTCAAGATTCAATCATTCATTCAGATGAGATTATCTCACCGACTAGCGAGGAGCGACGTCAACGAAGGTATCACCCTCGTTTTGGGCGATGAACAGTTGACGGGGTTAAACCAAGAAGGATAGCACGGGGGTCTACAGAGGATTGTTAACGCCATCAAGAGACGGTCGCCGGACATGAGGTGTTCTTGTTAACAGGCCAAGTGGTCACCCGGAAGTTTACCGGCATGCAAAAAGTCAATATTTTTATCTGGTGTAGCATGCTTACCCCGTGTTAAAGGGGCCATAAAATGATTTTCTAACTTCTTCTTCCTTAGCTTTAATCCTCAACTCAAAAGTGAGCAGTGGAATCACGCGGTCGTGACATGCTAGGGCACCGGTGCGATGACCCCAAGCTTCCACCCTGCTTATTAAGCACACCATGGAACTTGGCATTCGCAAGTGCACTCACATGCACTCATTGGCCACGATCGCGAATTTAAATATTCGTCGACGAATTGATTATTGACGAGCGGATACGTCCGAGTGACGCAGTTTTCGTATCAAATGCGTGAGCTGAAGTCGGCTGACGTCATTTTGGCTTTTATAATCATTGCAAAAAGAATATATAGAACCATACACATAGGATAATAATATCATAGCACACGAACATTAACGACAACAAAACGGGCCCAGCTACAGAAGACAAATATTACACTCGTAAAACATAATTGTCTATAACTTTTTAATTACAAAGACGAACACATCTCTGGGCATATAAGTTTAATACTATGTGTTGATGCATTGTTATAGAGCAGGTCATTTCATATACGTCAGTTGAGCAAACGCCAGCTTGTCTCTTGAATAAAACAAACCAAAAAACGCTGCGATCAAATGCAAGATATTTCAACGAAACCACGTTTATGAAAGTCTTTAGAACTGTCAATTCGTAAAATCGTCGATTAGTGCAAAAGGTTAAAGATCGCAGGCGCTTCCTCGCTTAAAGTTGCTGTGATTATTCGGTGACCCAGGGCTGAAAAAACTTCCCCTAGGCCCTACACACGACGTATACCTTTCGTTTCGATTCTCAGAAATTCCAACATTCAAAGGAAGCTAGAAAATCCGAAAATGTTATCCTAAAAACTATATCGTAAAATCGTTGATTAGTACGAAACGTAAAGATCGCAGGAGCTTTCTCGCTAAAACTTTCTGTGACTACGCGATTACCTGGGGCAGAAACAACCTCCCCAAGGTCCAACATGCGACGCATACAGGGGCGGATTTAGAGGGGGGGTCCGGATGTCCTGACCCTCCTCTTGATTTCTGCATGTGTAAAATTTAGGGCGTGAAACGAGGGAGAGGGGGAGGGGGTTCCTAAATATATGGTATGCTGACCAACACCTGACCCCCCCCCCCCCCCCCTCAGGAAATTCCTGCATCCGCCCCTGGACGCATACAATTCGCAAAAATTCTCAGACATTCCAACGTTCAAACAAAGCTAGGAGTATGTGAAAATTGCATGCAAAATGTGTTATCGATCCTCGAACACATCCAGGAATCCGAGCACCGCTACGGCGATATGACTGATGCTGTCGCACAGGTGCTAATATTCAGAGCGATCTTACACAGAAAAGTTATAAAGTCTCATTCTTTCAGATCTTCACGTTATACCTGTGTCAGAGAGCACGAGGAAGACCGAAATCGTCGGCAAGCAGCGGCACGTTACGAGTACCGCGCACCAAACAAATTCGAATCCACCAGCTCTGGGCGGTGCCATCTTACCGGTGACATCACGGCCTCGCGAGGTCACGTGACGAATAGTCACTCAGTTGCTAAGGAAACCGAGCCAGCTCAGCTCGCTGCTATGGTACCGCGTGTGAATCACGGTGAGAGGCAGCACAGGGAAAAGCGTGGCGCTACTATGGCAGCTAGCTGCCATATAGAGTGCATCTAAGCAGGACTAACGGCAGCTTATGCTAGCGCACGCCTCTCGGTTAGTCCCGTTCGGGTGCAATTAGTCCTCAGCATTTGCGCACGGTACCTAGCTTGAACCAGATGGTATCTTTGGGTAGAAAATGGGAGTACAGGGGACCGAATGCTGGCGTTAGTCCTTTGAGACCATCTTTTTTTCTTAAAGTGCAGTCCAATATCGATCGCTAACCTGGGGTTTTCTCGCGTATAACGCAGTGATTACACTAACTAACGTGGTACAATGCTGATGCTCATGTTAAAGGGGCCCACCAACAATTTTTGACCGGTTTGAAGTTCGCGCTTAAACGGAGCTCCATGAAAGCAGGAACACCGAGGAAAAAAAATATTACGGAAATTCGCGATATTTTGTGAGTTATTAGCAAATTAAATATTGCAGAAAACAACTTTAAATAAGCAAAACATTGCGCTTCAAGACGTAAAATGAAGCAGTTTGGCGATTGGAGATAAGCGGTTGGCCAATTGGACGCGAGTTTGGTTGATAGCCTGTCGGCCCGGTCGGCTCGTCGGCCATTAGGCCTAGCTGCAACCATCGTAGCTTTGGGATCGGGTTGCCATCATCGATGAATTTAGCGGGCTTATCCGATTTTGAGTGCGGATCTGGGCGTCGCGCCGTACGAGGACACTCCACGCAAGCGCCGCGTCTCTGCCTCAGTCCGCTTCGACAGCCGCGGAAGACTCGTCTCCCGCAACTCGGCGAGTAGGAGGTACAAACTGGTGAGCGGCACCGTTGGGTACCATATAAGCTGGGTCCCGTCGCCGCACTTCACTCGAACAGTGAAAAGTCTGTCACAGCACTAAAAGAAAATAAGGGTTCCCCTGGCTCCTCTTACTGCTTTTAGTTGACCAAGACCGGGGGCGCACAAGGAAAAATACGATGCGCGCAGTCTGCACGGATCACTTGTCGTCTGCTCGCGATGGTACATCGCGGGCGCCGCTGGGAGGCGCGCATGAGCGACCAGGCGTTGTTTTCGCCCTTTTTGAACTTTACTTTGCAACTTTATTAGCTCTATAAAAATTACTTGTTTGAGAAATAATGACGGTTAACGTGTGATATACTTCATTTCGCTTCAAAATTCCTGGGACGGCTCTCGCCGATCACGAAACCCAATGAATGTGACGTATAGTGAAAGGGAGCGCCGTTATGCGCGCGCATTCGGCACCTCACGGCGCCACCGTCGGAGGAGGTGTTTCCGAGTTGTCAAATTAAAATACGATGCGCTAATATTTTCAAACTCTTTCGTTGTCCACTGGATTTCCGGGACCACTAGCGTATAGAAACCGCAAAAAAAAAGTCGACGCTTAAATACTGTTGGAGGGCCCCTTTAATGTAAACAGACAGAAACAGAAAAAATACTGGAATGACCAAATTACTCATCTAACGAATAACCGCCAAACGCAATACCTTGTAGACCTTGTTCTAGATATTGCAGCTGTTCATGCAGACCAAACTGACTAATCTATAAAGGCGGGCTCTGATGCTTACGTTTTTTTTTAGAGCGCAGCTCTTAGGCGCCCGTTTCCGGCTTGAGCGGTGTCGCCGTTCAAGCCGGAAACGGGCGCCTAAGCAGGAAACAGGCGCCGTCGGCGTCGGCGTAACCGTGAGGTCACGTGACCCCCGTGAGGTCACGTGACACATGTGACGTCACGTTACCACCGTGAGATCACGAGGGTCACATGACCTTACGGTTACGCCGAAAGCGACGACGACGCCGACGACGCTCGGAGGGAGGAGTAGCAGGCAGGATGAGGACGTGAAGAGGAGGGATGAAGGGTATAACCTCCCCTCAGTACCCTTCCCTCCTCCTGCTCAAGAGCTGCGCTCTAATTCGGTGTTACAGGGAGTTGTAAACGGCTTTAATTTTTTTATTTGGAACATCGGTAGTTTAGCCTTTCGTTGCAGTACAAAGAACTTCGTCCAATTCGCGAGATCAAATCATAATTTTCGTGCAAAGCCCGTTCAAATATTCGGCGACAGAGAATATCAAGCATCTGCGTTAAGTCCCCATTTCGAACTCTCTTTGTTCACGTTCCCCGCAATGAAAAGTACGGCGAAAGAACCTAAGCATACGATAAAATCCGTCTGCTATGATTAGCGCCACCATGCCAATGAAGCGTCTTCTTTACGGACGAACGTGCATGCGAAGGCAGCGTCTAAAGCCAGCAACGGCAGACGCCATTTCCAAATGCTGTCTACTAAAGTGAACGCGGTAAGGCTAGCCTATGGGCTCGCTAAAGTCGAACGCGCCGTCATGGATGTCAATGCTGAGAGCTGGAAGCGGTCGCGAGCCCTTGCAGGTTCCGGTGCCGTTCGGTGCTCACCAGGGTCTGACATTATAATCTATTTTTCCCGAGCGAAGCAGGCGAGAAGCGAGGGGTGACTGCGCGGAGCGTGGCAAGTTTGGAAGTCCAGCTTGAAGCCTAAAATAGCGTTGCCGCGTTGGTAGCATATATACTGCATTCAGAAGATGGCGCGGCTGAAGCTGGCTTGAGATGCCGCGTTCGGATGTGCATCTATTATATGAGACAGATTTTACTGCGCGGATGAACACGATGGTGTGAAAAGATTATACTCCGTTTCATCGTATGTTGTGCCGCAGCGAAGGCTAGGAGCGCGAGCTCATAGCGTTGGCAGCTGCCCTAAATGCACGAGTGCTTGTGCCGCCAAGATGTGCCTTATAGCAAGGAGCTCGCGCTTGTAGCCTTTCCTGCGGTACACCATAAGATGAAATAGAGTATTAGCGACGTGCGCGACCGAAAGCGTCGCCGTGGTCGGCCTTTCACGATTGGCCCAAAAGCTGACTATGACGTCGGAAAGGGTATACCATCGACGGAAATAAGAGGAATGAAAGAACTTTAATTGCGACGGTGTCGGCAGTGTTGCTTTGAGAGCGCAATGATTTCAGGCTTCCACCATGCTATTTATAAACACCATCGAACCTGTTGTTCGCAAGGTAATGACGTCACAAGGGGGAACCATAGGAGGGCGCCACCAAAACATCTCGCCGCTAATAGGTGCGCACCTCGGCTCCTTCACCGTGCTTTTCAAAGGGAAGAACGTGAACAAAAAGAGTTCTAACTAAGGCATAATGCAGATGGCAGATTTTCTCCAGCTCTTAATATTTTGACTCGCAATACGCAAAAAATCATGTATCGGGCATCTGGCGGCTTGTTGTTTTTCCTGGAGGTTGGGGCTGAAGTATGAATTTTTTTTATTATTTTCTTACTGATTTAAATTGTGCTGTAGCATATATCGTGCCCCACGCACGAATTGTTGGCTTACACATGTTGCCCTATACATGTGGGCTTTAAATTATAACATATTTAATGGCGTGATAAATATAAAGGTTTTATGTGACCTAGCTTTCGTTCCTCGTGGTCTGCATGGGAAGGATAGGCTTCGGCGCGAGCATTGGATTCAACACGATCCAAACGAGGCGAATGCCTGAAACTGACAATTAAAGGACTTCAAGACCAACCGTCGCTGCGCACAACAAGTAGTGTCGCGTCTGCAATGTGGACGTTTATTGTTCAAAGCGCAAACACAACAGCGAACCGGGGTGCACGCCGGGGGCTCAGCCCCTGCGGACCCCCGACGGTCCACCTCAGAGCTCGTCGGGGCTCTCGGATATCCGCTCCCGGAGGCTCTTGTTCTCCAGCTTGAGATGGACGAGCTGCTCCTGGAACCGCGGAACAAGGTTGGATCAGAGTGCACTCGCGACAGTCGCAGACCGACACCTACTCGGTCACGAGGCAGTAGAGTACCGGACCTTCTACGCCACCCACCGCAGGCCAGTGCGGCCACGGATTGGACACCAGTGCCGCGCCACTCCTCGACTGGGCCTCATTGTCCAATCCGTGGCGCGCTCCGGCCTCCAATCAGTGACGAAGATGATCCGGTCCTACGACTTGTTGCCGAAGGGATGTTGCCTGACTCCGTGTGTATATTGCATCGAAAGGATTCCTTTAAAGGCACCATAAAATGGTGTTTCAACTTCTTCCTCTTTAGCTTTAATCCTCAACTCAAAAGCGAAATAAGAAATCACGTGGTCATTACCTGCTACCTAGAGCACTGGAGGCGATGACTCCAGTCTTCCACTGTGCTTTTGAAGCACACCATTGAACTTGTCACTCTCAAGTGATAATAAGTGCCGGTTCCGTTAAAGGAGCTGTGTAACGATATTCAATTGGAATGTATCTCTCTATACACGAGCTTACTGGCACACCTGGGACTCAAGGATACTCACACGCAACGCCATTGGCCAAGAAACTCCTTTGTTGCGGTGTAATTTCAAGGACAAAAGCGATCCTTTTCATTCAATCTCTCCTTTGCAAAATTTGATGACGTAACTCGGGGGTCCCAGTACACCCAAGTGACGATATTTGAATGCGGTTCATAGATTGGACCCGAGCATTGCGTGGGCACTCGACTTGGGCTCGTGACAATTGCTAGCTCGAGAAGCATTCGGGTTTTGACCCGTGTCCAATCGCTGCAACGACGACAACAGCCGAGCCATAACAATGCCTGGAACTCAGCGCGTGTCCTGCGCTTTGCCAACCCCAGCGCGTGGCTATGATCAACACTGGCGGCATATAATCGGCTCCAGATCACGTGGCCGCTTGTTCTGGCTGCGAGTTGAGGGGGTGAACGCTGCTCGTTTTTCTTAAATTTTTTTCTGGAACTTCTATTGCGTGGGGTTAAAAACGAACGCGTGTTTCATAGGTCATTAACGTTAGGGATCCGTTTTAAGCGGTATTTGCGCAAAGTACAAATATTGTTGCATTGGTCCTTTAAGGCACTCATTGGCCACGAAAGCGAATTCAGATATTCGTGGTGACGGATTGATCGTTGATCGATACGTCCGAGTTACGCTGTGCTCGTGTCCAATGCTAAGTTGGGTTCCGCTGACGTGCTCGGGCACCGCGGATGCATCTCAGCGAAAAGGCGGAAAACTTTCGAAGGAAAGGAGGCACAAAATAGTCTGCTATATCTTCAGTTTCCTACCAAAAAGCAAGCTTTCGGCTTCCTACGTTCGTGCACTAGTTTTTTTGTTTTTTTTTTTGACTCAGTAAACGATTTGCGATTAGTTTGATCTCAATTCATCTCAGCCGAAAATACATTTCATGGTCCTTTTGATCAGGTTAGCCAGTGAGCTACGGCACCCATAACTTGTTTTCTTTTTTTGCCAGTGACACCGCATTCGCATTAGGGTGGGATATCGTTCACCTTTACACTGGCCAAGCTAATCCAAGGAACGCTAAAGGTTGGTGTGCCAAGTGCATCACGGGGTAGTACCGTGTTTTCCGGGCTATAGTCCACAACCGGTGTATAACCCGCAACGGCGAATTATAGGAACAAAAAAGTTTATTCTATAATAGCCCGCACTTGGTGCATAGTTCGCACGTAAAAATTCTCATCTGCAGCCCACCTTTGACAAAAGCCTGCTTTATTAGCTCAGAAATAAGCTTGTACCGTACGCTTAAATTATCATTAACGCTCTCCAAATCCGGGACGCCTCGTCAAAATTAACGATCTTTAGCAAATCCTTGTATTGGAAATTTTCATCGCGTGTTTTTGAACCTATACTTTCACGACTTCGTCTTTAAACCTCCAGTCGCTGTGAATATTTGATTTGCTCGAGAAGATTAGTGAGCAAATTTGGCGCAACGGTTTTCCGTTTTAGCCACTAAATGTTGCCAATTTCGCTAGAGTGGCCAATCATCCGCACCCCGGCAAATTTCAATATTTAAACATCTATAGCTTGAAAAATACGGTACCTACAAAACAAGTGGGAGCTTCCGAGTGTCCAGTGAATGAAGCGGCCGCGCTTGGGCTTGTTGCGCTCGCTACCGCGTGTCGCCGATCGGGAATGGTGCCCATTGACACCCCCCATCTTTGCTCTGGCCAATTGTTGACCTCAAAAGACCGCAGGCGCCGCGTCTTCGTCCGAAACCTGGCACTCGGGTCAAACGTTAAGACCCGCAGTCTTTGAAGGTCGACCATCTCTTTGGTTGGCGTCGACCGACCGGTACACGGGGAAATTCTCCGATTATTTTATGCTTGAGAAGGGGGGGGGGGACGCGCTTTGGTGCGTGGAACTCTTACAGCGGCCTTTTGTCTCACGAGGGACATTAATTCGCGCAATTCAGAGACGCTTGATCTGCTATTTAAGGGGGGCCATGAAACGCTTTTTAGAGCGCAGCTCTTAGGCGCTCTTTCCCGTGTTTCGCAGGCGCCGCCGTCGCCTTCGGCATCGCCGTCGGCGTAACCGCGCGCGTTGCATTATGGGAGGTCACAGATCTATACACCAGTTCGATTCCCCGCTAAATTTTGCGAAGAAACTGAATTGGTGTGTAGGTCTGTGACGTCGCATAATGCAATACTGCGCATTCAGTTTCCCCGCGAAATCTAGCGGTAAACCTGACGTCACATGACATCAACACCAATTTAGTGTCCCCGCTATATTTTTCGGGAAATCGAATTGGTGTTGAGGTGACGTGACGTCAGTTTTCCCGCTAAATCTAACGGAAAAACTGAATTTGTTCAGAGGTGACGTGATACGTAGTCATCTGCGTCATTTTCAATGACGTCACATGACGTCATTATTGGCAATTGAGTTGGCGTGGAGGTCACTTGACGTCAGTTTTCCCGCTAAACTTAGCGGGGAAACCGACTTGGTGGAGGTCACGAGGCGTCAATTTTCCAGCTAAATTTAGCGGGCAAACTGTGGGAGGAAGGGAGATTACGAAAAAGGAGGAAAATGACGAGGAGGGTGGAGGGGGGACGGGGAGGAGGGGAGAAGGAGGGTCCTCCGTACCCTCCCCTCCTCCTCCTGTCTATAGCCTCCCGTCATGGTGTATCGTAAAATCACAATGCTTTAAGAGGTGGGCTCTAATTTCGCATTACATAGATTTGTAAACGTCTTTCCTTGTTCCTGCTTAGCTTTAACATTAAACTCAAAAGCAAAATGAGAAATCAGGTGGTCGTGATGTCCTTGTTTCCACCGTGCTTTATAAGGACGCCATGGAAGTCGCTATTTGCAAGTGCTGATAAGTACCGTCACCGTACTCATTGGCCACGAACGCGAATCCAAATGTTCGTCGACGCATTGATTGTTGACGAGCGCATACACATGAGTTGCCCAGTGCTCGTGTGCAATGCGTGAGCTGGGGCCGGCTGACGTGCTTTGGGACTTTGGGTACCACGGATGAATCACAGTAAATACCGTATTTACTCGAGTAATAGCCGCACTATTTACGAACAAGGCCCTTGCGTCTACTTTCCCACAGAACACATACACAGCCAATCATTGCGTTGCGCATAAATAACATAGCGAATAACCAGATCGAGAACACGATATTCCATACAAGTGCAATATTCACAGATGGTGTCTTCGCACGAAGACGTTATCTCTGTCCTGTAAACAGCTGAAATCATGCTGTCGAACGCGGTGATTGGCAATCTGCGTGCTCCGCGGAAAAGCGAACCCTCAGGTTTTCTTCATAAACACTGCGGCTGTTACTCGAGTAAATACGGTAGGAGGAGAGCCTTCCGCCCAAGGAAAGAAGGTACGAAGTAGTGAGCTATATTTTCAATTTTTCGTAGCGAACACCAGACTTTTGACTTTCTACGACCTTTCTCTTGACGCACTCAGCGGTATGCGATTAGTGAAATCCCCATCTAAATCATTTATTTTAGCCCAAAATTAATTATATGGTCCTTTAAGGTGTTGCATTACACAGAACGGCGTGGCTCACATTTTATGAACCACAACCATCTGGAAAAAGCGGCCCTGATTGCTGGTCAGCCTTTTATTTTGCCGAGTTCGCACGAGCGACGGATTTAAAAACGGATTCTATGAGAGAAAGCTAGATCGTCTTGCATTTTTACCGTTGACTGGCTAACCCTGGTCACTTTAGCGGAAATTGTTTTTGCGCATCCTAGAAACAGTCACTGCCACACCACTGTAAACCAAATATCCGCGCTTCGCAACCCTAACCTATAAGAGCGAACCCTCGGTTTTGCTGGACCTAAGGAATTTCAAGGACAGCCACCTCTCCCGCTTCTACTGAATGGAATCTCCCCATCTGATAGCAGTGTAGGAAACTACAGCTAATGTTGAATTAGCTTTCCTTTCTTCCTCCATTTTTTTACTTTCATTCATTCATTCATTCATGCGTTCATTTTAACATTTATGGGCCCCAGCAAGTTCCTTACCCCACCCCGCTATTGTTTTCCTCTAATGAATTTTAATTTCAAATGTTTTTGATGAGCACAGTTGATACATTTAGCTCGACGAAAAGATCGCCGTTTCTTTCGGCCTGCGAATTATGATTTCAATAGTCCTATAAAAACTAGAAATTTGGTGTGAAGTACTCGTTTGGGAAACAAATCTAACGGAAACTTTCGGTGCTCCTAATGACCCTGTTTGAGCATAAGTCTGGAAAGAGCCGATATCGTGTTCGCAAAAAGTGTGTTGTGCATTTTACATGCTCAACAAAGTGAACGTACCAGCGGAACGCTTTTCCTCGCCTACTATTGCTAAAAACTGGAAGACAGACTGGTGGCAAACAGGGTTCGGGCTATAAACAAACCAACTGTGTCACATGGTGATAAAAATAATGAAAGCCGTTTACAACTCCCAGTAACGCCGAATTAGAGCACAGCTCTTGAGAAGGATGGAAGGGTACAGAGGGGAGGGTATACCCCTCCTGCCTCCTCCTCACCTCGTCATCCTGCCTCCTACTCCGTCACGGGGGTCGCGTGACCTCAGGGGGGGGGGGGGGGGGGGGGGGTCACGGGACCTCAGGGGGTCACGTGATTTCAGGGGGGTCACGTGACATCACGGTTACGCCGATGCCGACGGCGACGGCGACTGCGACGCCGCTCATGCCGGAAATGGGAGCCTAAGAGCTGCGCCCTACAGGAAGATTGATTGCTGGATTTTTGGAGGTTGCGTTAGCATGACCCTTGGGAAACGCCACGCACGTCCGCCTTTGGGAAACGCTAGTGCTGACCCCTTCCCTTTTCTCTTTTTGCTCTCCTTTTTGCTTCCTCGATTTTTTGCTGCCTCTTTTCGGCCTCGTTACGGGGTCTGTGTTAGCGTTTCCCAAAAGGGGACGAGTGTGTCGTTTCCCAAGGGTCATGCTAACAGATTTTTTTAAGAACCCACAAATAGATCTGCTTGTAATTTTGTTCACCTCTTCTCTGTACTCTACCTGACAGAGTACGTCGACACCTTTGAATGCGGTCATCCATATCACTCGTGAAAAGAACCAGATGCATATCACTCGTCGAAGGAACCGCATCCATCGTGTTAACTACACGCACAGATCACAACAGCCCACGCACCGCTACTACAGAATACCAGAGCGAAGATAAACCGGCGACGGCAAAGCGGCAACTGAGCACGCCCGCATTTCACCGCGTCGCGGAGCAACACCTTCTAGATAACGGAGCCGTAGTGCTGAATGGAATGACGTCATCAGAGAAGGCCAACCTTCGGCTCAAGCGTGTCTCAAAGCCGAGCGCTGACGCAGCACTCGTTTCCAATCTGTGTCCAGCGATGGCCTTCGATGTGTCATCATTTGTTTGCTGACGGACACGACCCTGGGGAAACTAGCCCTTAACAGCTCCGCTGTAAAACTGAACTCAAGATGTGCAAGGCCAGACAGCATGCCACACGTACCACGGCGATGTGTGAACCAGCCTTAAAAAGTCCCTCAGTGTATACTACACCTCGATAAACTCGTAAAGGCTGACAGTGACCATTCTTCTCTTGGTGCAGCCAATGAGAAAGGCGGTCGGTAGCACGTATTAGGGAATATGTAGCCGAGAGTGCAAAGGCATAGGTGTGCGATAACGCTATAGCCCTTCCATTAGTCATGTTGATTAAAGATATGCCGATAATTGGTGTTCCGAGAGCACCACGCAGCAGCCCACACGCAGGAGCCTCTGGGAGTGTCCATCACTGCGAAGGGGAGGAGTGCGAAGCCGAATGCGGGAAGCAAGCTTTGTGAGCTAAGTGTATTTCACTGGTCTTTTCCGCGTATCGCTCGTCGCCTCGCAGCCGTTTAGACTGCTTCGACTAAGGTTGGTTCGATACGGACGACGCTTGAATGAACGGCTGCTCCTGAACAAGACATCTATTGAAGTGCGTTCTATTAAAATAGACGTTTTACTAAATACTCAGGCACGAAGGAGCGTCCGCGAGTGTAGTCACATGCGCTGCGCGGGCTGCCTTCTGCAGCATTAACTGTTCGAAAGCAAAAACTCGAAACAAATCGCGCTTTGCACGCGTGATCATCGAGGCTTTATTTTGCTAATTTACTTCGAACCTCTTACACAGATAAGGCGAGCGCAAGCAGCGCGTGTACGTTCCTTGCATTTTCCTACATGATTGGTAATCTGGCAAAATATCTACTGCTTTGCTTCGTATGAAGCGTAAAAGCTAATATATTTTATCACAGAAGCATTGCATGCGAAGTTGGAAGCAGGAATCTCCGGGTGACTTTTAACGCAATCTAAGCAAACAATCGTTTGTGGATGGGGTCTCAGGCGGTTGTCATCTGAGTTGCTTTGTTGGTTACATCGCTATTTTCCTGCCTTGTGGCACGAGAAACACTGAAGCCTTGACAGCTGAATCTTAGGTAGGTCTCACTTGATGCCTCGAATGAGAAAGAGGCGTCTTGCGGTTCATGTAGTAAGCACGACGTTACAAACATTTTTGGGGCTTCCAGTTTAGACAGTCAGTGATTCCATATTTTAGCCATTCTCGTAAGTCGCCGTCAGTTTTATTTGTCTGCATTAACCATCTGCAGAAATGCCGTGAACTGCCAACTCATCAATGGAATATCATTGCTGGTTTTCGCTGGTTTGGCCAGTAAAACAATTGTCAAGCTATCACAAGATCTTGACTATGTTTTATTCTATCCTGCTGCTGTCTAGTCCTGAACATCATCTATGTAGTTGTAACTAAATTCACGAAATGCAGATGTGTTTATGTGATAGCCTTCTGAATGCACAAAAAACGTTAAAAAAATGCCAGCGGCCTATTGGGATGAAAGAGATAGGTGGCTATAAGCTCTAAGCGATAAAGTTCGCCACTGCAACAGGAGCACGTCACAGACCACCCTCGCTGAATGAATTATAGGTCTCTGAACATTTAGAGAGTAAGTGTGACTAATCTCAATATGAGATATTTGACCAGCGCGGTATGACTGTTGATCTGGTGTCTTTAGCGTGAACCACGAAGTTACGATTGGACGAGTGAAGCTAGACTGCCAGTGCAGATGATGCCCTAAAAGTTTTATGGTGGCAATCCACAGCTCCACATACTTACCTAAAAGACCTGTCCGAAACGCCAACGGCGCGTTATGCGCACAGTCATCGCACAGCGTACTATGCGAGGATTCAAAATGGCGGAACGGATATGGATGATTTTTAGCGTCACGGCGCGTAGCTTGGGAGTTTCGGTACTCTGAACACCTATTCAGTGACTCTAGCGTCTATCAATCACACAAGTGCTAAAAGCGTCATTGAATAGGACAACAAGAAAGAACAGTGCGTCTTTGTTCTGGACGTTGTTCCCTGGAGCCTTTAGTACTCCTGTGAATGTACCAAAAGGCCCATCGTTCTATTTGTCCACTGGTCTCCCGGAAGCAGCGAATGTGAAGGCCGCGGCTCACACACTAGGGGCTGCTTACGACATAGTGCATTAAAACTTCTTAAAATATCTTACGACGAGAGAACACACTGACGCCATCTATCGGGTGGCCGTGGAACACTTGGTATTTATGTACATTTCTTTTTTTTCGAGCATCGTTTGTTTTTTTTTTTTTTTTTTTTGGGGGGGGGGGGTTTACAAGTTTTTTGACAATGTTATAAACAACCACTTCTCATAGATAGTACAAGCATTTGATTTCGCAAAAACCGAAAAAATACTGACTGTAGCGAAATGCAGTTCCAGGGTCACGTCATGGATGGCGCCAGTGCGCCAGTGAGTTCTCTCGTCGTAATAGGCCACAAGAACCCGGTCGTAGGCGCTCGGAAGCTTGTGGAGTAGCCTTTAGACTCCATGTGCGCCTCACCTTGAGCGCCCTGACCGCGCGGTCCTTGTTCTGAAGCATGTCGTCGACGATCTTGGTGTTACGGACGTAGGACTTCCAGGCGGCGCGCATCTGGGACGTCGCGAGTCGCATGTCGTCCAGCTTGAGCGACACGATGGTCCAGAGCACGTCGCGTAACTCCTTGTGGTAGCACTCCTCGGCCATCATGTCGGTCATCTCCTTGTCCACGTCGCTGGGACCGCCTGCTTCGCGCTGGACCACGGTTCCCGCGGCGGCGGTGCCTCCCGCGGGGCCCGCGCCACCGGCCGCCGCCGAAGAGGTTGTCATGGACACGGGGCCCTCGTTGTAGTCAGGCCTGCGGCCGAACGAAGGGCGCTCCGCTCAGCTCAGCCTTGTCACCACAAGTGACCGTTGCTGAAAGCTCAAGATACACGGGGCGTGGTTTAGTGCCCTTGCTTCTTCAATTTTTTCACTATCACATGCCGCATGGTTATTGGCTGCTCAGTGATGAGAATGTGCTCAGGATGCGAAACGCCATGATTTTATTAAGCTGCAGTGACTTCAGCAGCTGCCCCTCAAAAGTGCTGGAATGTCAATGCGGAGCACACAGAGAACCAGCCACCCTGAAATATGGAGCAAATGAGGCGGCTCAAGTTGGGTTTATACCTAACATAAAGTATGCGATGCGTCAGCGCGACGATGTGAAACGTCATACTGAGCGTCAGATTGCCGGTTTTAACTTTTAGGTGTAAAGGTATTTTCATCCTAGCCATTGACTTTGTCAATCGACATGATAAGTCACAGTCTTTGGCATTCCGAGAGCTTTGCAGGAAAGCACGCCAACGGGTGTCTCGTACGTTCCGGAGTATCGTCACTCGGAATATCTGTCATTGGATTTTATCAGTTCAGCCAATAAAATCAAACTATTGGGGCAGCTTCGCGCCCCAACCATCATGTGCCTGCCTTCGCCAGGGCACCTTCAAGGCCCTGGCGGAGGCAGGTTTAGTCATGAACGTCGGTCTCCTTGAGTCTTGCTGGAGGCACTAGAACTAATATCAACTAGAAGACAAGGCCTTTAGCCCCCCCCTCCCCCCATTCCCCCAAACGTCATCACTAGTGAAACCACGCAGTACCGCCTAGCCCGTGTTAGCATCGCCTCTACCACGCCTTGAAGCGTGTCACAAAAACGCTATTCCCTGGCGATGTCAAGACGGACGCGTCTGCCGCTCTGCCGCGGGCTCTAGTCGAGTTTCAGTGTGTCTTTGGGCGGGATCCACTAACAATGACGTCATGCGCAGGCCTTGTCTTCTAGCAGGTATTGCATGCATCCCTTCGTTTCTCGAAAGCGTCGCCAGGCGCCTCTCAGGTTCTCACCTGGGCAGCCCCAGCTGCTCGAGCATGCGGTCCAACCAGGCGTCCTCGTTGAGGAAATCGCCGTAACAGCGCGCGTCGCTCTCGTTGAGCAGCGACGTCGCCTTCGAAGAGTCCTCCGAAGTGTCGCTCGTCTCGCTGCTCGACTCCGACGCGTCTCCGGCCGCGGCCGCTGGCGTCGGGCTCACCTGAATCTTGGCACGCACGCCGACACCTTCACCTGTGGGTCCCAGCTGGGACTGGCACTTGTGGCAGACGTCTGCCGGCCACTGGGCCTGCGTGGAGGCGCAGCGCTTGCTGGAGGCGGCCGCTAGGGCGGGAGGTGGCAGCGGCGACGTCGCCACGCTCGCAGATTGAACAGCGGTCGGTCCTGCGGGCGCTCCGTCTTTCTCTGGGTCCATGGCGCCACGTCGATGTCGCTCGCGGTTGAAACGGTTCGAATGGGCTGTGGGAACGACGGAAGGGCTGCGCGAGCGCTCGTGCCCGCAGCCATCGCACTGTTGTTTTCTGGCCTTTTTCTTTTTCTCTGTGGAATCTGGAAAGGGCCTAGAGGAATATGGCTCGAGTTTCGAGAGGCTTAGGCCGAAAGCACGGTGCCGAAAGGCTCAAAGGGCCTACGGTTCAAGGGCTGCCAGCACTGGCTAAATTTCTCATCTACAGTGGGTAACAATGTCGCCATGCTCTGGCAGACTGGTCTCTAAGAAACTACCTTCTAATTTGTATGTGTCTGTGGAGGGGGAAGGGAAAGGTGATAGGTGGTCGAGTGCAACGTTGGTCGATTGTGTTCACGCACCACAGCTTGAGGCACGTGAAGCAAAAGCTCGCGCTGCAGAACCCAGGTAGGAATGGGTTAGGTTGCCTTCATGTGCGCTTTGCTTGGGGTGATGACATCTGGCCATTTTGTTTCGAACGTTTATTTTTATTTTTTGTTCTGAAGCGCGTGAAAGAGCCTGTCCCTGCACGCGCTCGTGCCGCTGACAGTGTTACGGCGACATTTTGTTTCCTGCGATTTCTTTGTATTTTCCCTGTGAGCGCGTGCTGTCGGCATCGGGTACTACAAACGATGGCATCACCCTAAACAGAACGGCATTGAGGCACACCAGAATAAAGCCCCTCGATGAGTTTGCGCTTGTCTTACAAGTAGCGTCAAATGCGCGAGTGCACGAGGCCCATGTCTCGAGCGGCCCTTGGAAGCAAATGGCGGTGCAGCACTGAAATGAGCAGGCCTTGGAAGCGAATGGCGGTGGAGCACCCGCTCATGGCACGTGTCTCGCGCGCTTCCACAACAATGGTTGGCGGTACTTGTAAAAAACGCTTTTATCAAGGGGCTTTACACCAGAATGGGTACCCTAGTAAAAGAAATCATTTGTATTAGAAATTTCTTGTGTCCAATAAACACATATGAATCATACAAGATATATAAGCACATATAAGAACATGTAAGAACCATATAAGAATTATATGAGAACTATATAAGAATTATATAAGATATATAGGAACCCCATAAGGAACTTATAAGAAACTTCCCAATAGTTTCTTATATGGCGCTTCTATGTTCTCATATATCTTATATAGTTCTTATACAGTTCTTATATCGTTCTTATACGGTTCTTATATGTTCTTATATATCTTGTATGATTCATATGTGTTTATTGGACACAGAAATTTCTCATACAAATGAGAATTTTCAATAGGGTAGGTGCGCCGTCGGGGGCCGTGAGAGCGTCGTGATGTGCAAGAACGCCAGTAAGGGCACTGTGGGGAAGTACGTGCTATTGGTGACGAGCGCGATCGAAAGGGCCGCTGTGGTCGGCCATGCACGATTGGCCGAATGCTGACTATGACGCCAGCAAAGGTTTTCTCATCGACAGAAATAAGAGGAATGGAAGAACTTCAATTTTGACGGTATTGGCAGTGTTGGTTTCAGAGCGCAATGATTTCAAGCTTCCACCATGCTCATTACAAACACCATCGATCTTGTTGTTCGCAAGGTAATGACGTCACGAGAGGGAGCCATAGGAGGGCTCCATTTAGCGCACGTGAAGGCTCCCTAGCTCCACCGAAACATCTCGCCTCGGCCATTAGGGGGAGCATATCGAGGAACTCCAGGGTCGCTAAACTCGTCAAGCACAACTTTGTGTCCGAAAGTTGCGGAACGCGCTAATTGGACTCTCGCGACGCTGACGTCGCGCCGAGTGAGGTGTCAATCATTCGAAGCAAAGTTCATCGAGGCGCGCGTGCGGCGCGTGAGGGGCGCGAGGAGTCCGCTGATTGAACGGCTTCGCCGATGACGTAGCGCCCATTTGTCCCGACATCCCTACGCCAAGCTAAAATTAATGCTTTGCAGATTGTCCCTAGGCGACCTGCTGACGCTCAAAATCCCTCCGAAGTTTGTGTAAAAAAGAAACCTCGTTTGTCGAAGTTGTCGCTGACGTCAAAGTAACGTTACCGAACTTTGCGAGAGCCGTGGTTTCAGCTCGAGATCTTCGCTTCGAATCGAGGCGAAGTTAAACTTTGTCAACATGGCGGTGCCGTACACAGCGGCCGAGCTTATCTTCCGCCACCGTCGGCGTCGCTACTGAGACCACCGGGGACGCCTTTCAACTCCCCGACGACGACTTTCGGCGACAGTACCGGCTATCGAAAGCCGTTGTGCGTTGACTCTGCGACGAGCTTCGTTCGCCGCCTCGGACCGTGGAACAACAAGTTCTCTGCGCGCTCCGGTTCTTCGGAGCCGGTAGCTTTCAAGGCATGGTGGCGACTGACAAGCAGCTGTCAGTCTCCCACATGACAGTGAACCGGGCTGTCAGAACTTTTGCGGCTGCCATTGCTTTTTTTTTTCTTTTCTGTAATATTTGAAGAGGTACTAATAGAAGAGTGGTTGTTTGGGCAAGTTGGTTTGACATCTTATACAAGCTTGTGCGCAACGAAGACGAGGACAAAAGCAGAGAAGAGGACACAACAAGGCGCAACTTTCAACTGAATTTTATTGAAAATGTGTTCCGGTATATACATAGTCTCAACCATTGTTACAATGACAACAAAAAGACAAAAGTAAAGGAAAAAAAAAACACCATGACAGAGCATAACTGGGAAACAACACTATCTCGTTCTCAGGAAAAACAATTCCTTCTCCGATATTGCGATCGATGGCATAGCAACACACATGTCTCCTAAATAATCAATGTGCTCGGCTTCTATGATTTCGCGTGTTACCGCTGACTTGCATTTCCCAATTTTTACGCATTCATCCAACAGTGGGGTACAACCGCATGTCCTGCAATGCAAGTCAAGAAAGCCACCGTTCTTTTTTTGCACGTTGTTATTGTGCTCGCGAAGCCGCTCATTTAGGCAGCGCCCCGTCTGCCCGACGTAGTGGCTGCCACAGGACAACGGAATGCGGTAAACCACGCCATATGTACAGTCGACCAATTTCGTTCTGTGCTTCTTTTCACATCCGTGTTTGGCACGTACGCCAGGCTTTGATAGTTTGCACAGCTCCATGAGCTTATTGGCTCATGGAGCTGTGCAAACTATCAAAGCCTGGCGTGCGTGCCAAACACGGATGTGAAAAGAAGCACAGAACGAAATTGGTCGACTGTACATATGGCGTGGTTTACCGCATTCCGTTGTCCTGTGGCAGCCACTACGTCGGGCAGACGGGGCGCTGCCTAAATGAGCGGCTTCGCGAGCACAATAACAACGTGCAAAAAAAGAACGGTGGCTTTCTTGACTTGCATTGCAGGACATGCGGTTGTACCCCACTGTTGGATGAATGCGTAAAAATTGGGAAATGCAAGTCAGCGGTAACACGCGAAATCATAGAAGCCGAGCACATTGATTATTTAGGAGACATGTGTGTTGCTATGCCATCGATCGCAATATCGGAGAAGGAATTGTTTTTCCTGAGAACGAGATAGTGTTGTTTCCCAGTTATGCTCTGTCATGGTGTTTTTTTTTTCCTTTACTTTTGTCTTTTTGTTGTCATTGTAACGATGGTTGAGACTATATATATACCGGAACACATTTTCAATAAAATTCAGTTGAAAGTTGCGCCTTGTTGTGTCCTCTTCTCTGCTTTTGTCCTCGTCTTTGTTGCGCACAAGATTGTATAAGAGGTACTAATAAGCTGGTATACAATTCAGAATGTTGGAAAACAAACAAGAACCGGGGTAATTCTTGGGTAGGGTCGAGTCTCCCGGCAGCCGGCAGAATTATTTCCCCGAAATTCTACTGGCAGTCGTCACTCATTGGCGGTCAAATCAGTTCATCGAACGACGTGCCATCGACAGATCGTTTCATCGGCACGCGATGTAATCACATGAAAGAGATTGTCTTCCGTTAGAGGTATATACATATTAAGCATTTTCCCACCTTTAAACATGTAAGTGGGGTGTCCCATAACTAACACCTTAATAAGTGTAGCGATGGACCTTATAAAAGAAATGTAAACTTCACACCTTTAAAAATGTGTGATTTTTTTAAACACGTTTCTTAAAACGTATGATAATGCCTACACCTTTTTATAAAGATGTAAAACTACAATACCCCTTCTCGTCAGGCACGGAGCCAAGGGGAGGGGGGGGGGGGCATAAGGCCTGACCTTCCCGCCCCCCCCTCCCCCCCCCCCGAAATTTTCCATTTTGCTGGGGCCTCCTCTCCTCCCTCCCCCTCATACAACACTTTGTCATCGGCGCCCCCCCCCCCCCCCCCCTTAAACAAAAATCTGGCTACGTGCCTGCTTCTCCTCAAGGTGTAATTACCACAGTACATTTCTTTTTTGGGGTGTACACAGTGGCACGGGACCCATTAATATGACTGAACAAATAAATTACACAAACGAGTCGCCGAAACAGCACGTTGCTTCTTGGCGAGTGTCGAGGCAATATCGTCCGAAAACCGGCTTCAATATTGGCCGGATGTACGGTTTTGCGCCTCGTCCCTACATCCGGCAGGTATGGGAGTACCGATGCAAATAAACGATTTATGTCTAATAGCACTGGCGCCACAGATTTCTTAGGAGGCTAGAACGTGGATAGAGGCCTGTATTGCTGGGGTCGAGCGGCACAACCGGCAGTCATCGCCTGACACGATCTTATGCATGCTATAGGAGAAACGGGAAAACTCAATTTTATTACGTTAGTAGGTTGTTCTCTACCATGAAACTTCTATCGTGTTTCCGCAAATAACAGTTAATATTGTGGGCAAGAATATTAAACGCGTTAGAATACCAATCTTGTTTAACTAAATGTTGTGTGGTTGAGGGTCCAGGGCTACTTTGTTGGGCGTTAACTGTTATGTGTTTAATGAGACAAGGGCTACCGAGAGTTATTGTGGAGTCATCCGTGATTTCGGAGTCATCAAAGCTCAGAAAACGATAAGTTAGAATGCCTTTACTGGG